TATTTTTTGCTTATGTACCTTCTGGATCTCATTATTTTACAGGTGTACCGAATGAAGTGTCCATTGAGAGGATATTCTTTAAATACAAACCATACGGTTATTGTGAAATGATCAAAATAGTTAACAGGTGATGAACGTATTTTTTGTTTGTTTGTTGTTGTCGTTTTGCTGCTAAAAGAAAATAGTGATAATAATAATAATAATACATTTTATTTTTAAGTGCAGATCAAAACACACAAGGACACTTTACAATCAGGAACAACACAATAAAACCACAGATAAAATTATAATTAATAAAAGAAGAGATTAATTTAAATTGAGTATGCGATTTTGAATTGGTGGGTTTTGAGATGGGATTTGAATGTGGGAAGAGAGTGTTGTGTAAGCTTTTTTTCTGATTTCTGAAGACCGACAAATGTGTACCGCATATAGAGTTTGCAGCAAGATAAACTGTTTGTTTACTGAAGCTGCATTTTAAATGCAAAAAAATAAAAGAATTCCAATATATTTTAAATTAATCATATGAAGTGAAGATGATCGTGAGCGCTTCTTACGTTGTGATCAAGACAAGACCGCCCCCTATTGACTCAATTTAAGATAGCATGTGATAACGGCCAGACATCTTGAATGCAGTCATGATCAGGAAACTGTCTCGCCAATTATTTTATTTTCACAATACAGTGAGATGAATTACAATTAAAATCGTTCCTAATATACCGATTGGTCGAATTTTGATCGCCACAAAGACAATAAATGTAAATTATTTGAATTGCTGTGGTTGCAAAGCTTACGACCAATTTGCATTACTCCATAGGTCTACTGACAAACGGGGCATTTTAAACACTAACAGTTCACATCAACACCCACAAAAAAATTACATCATAGGCCTACAATGCAACTTAATTCAGACCACAAGAAGTAGCCGGCCGCCGGCCATACGAGCAAGATTCAATGACTACTAGTCCCGGAAAGCACCAAATGTATTTGCTTATTTTCAATACATTTCATCTCATTTAATGAAATGTTGGTGCATCTGCCTCACTGTACAGAGGTCGAGCTCAAGCCTTTTCTTGTGTGGAGTTTGCATTTCCTCCCAGTGCCTGCGTGGATTTCCTGCTTCTTACCTTCCAAAAACATGCATGGTAGTTTAATTGAACGCTCTTAATTCCCTAAGTGTGATTGTTATCCATCCATACATCTTCCGATCCGCTTATCCTCACAAGGGTCACGAGGGGTGCTGGAGCCTAGCCCAGCCGTATTCGGGCTGTAGGCGGGGGACACCCTGAACCGGTTGCCAGCCAATCACAGGGCACACAGAGACAAACAACCATCCGCGCTCACACTCACACCGAGGGACAATTTTGAGTGTTCAATCAGCCTGCCATGCATGTTTTTGGAATGCGGGAGGAAACCGGAGTACCCAGAGAAAACCCACGACCAGAACATGCAAACTCCACACAGGTAGGCCGGAGCGGGGATTGAACCCAAGACCTCTGCACTGTGAGGTCGACGCGCTAACCACTGGCCACCGGGCCGCCACTGTTGCAACACACCTGATTTAAATGAACAGGTTCAATATCAGGCTTCCGCAGAGCTTGCTGATGATCTGATCATGAGAATCAGGTGTGTTGCAACAGGGTGCCCACCTCTGCTCTATATTCTACATGCCCAGCAATTGGCTGGCCACCAGTTCAATGCCACTGGAACTACGGGGTGCACCCCATGGGGGGAACCCCCGCCACATCGTTACGCAGCCACAACAGCAGCAGCGGCGGTGGTGGAGGAGGAGAACAATAGGAGCGAAGGAGCGACTCCTCATCCTCGCACTTGGTAATGGCGGTGGCAATGGGGAGGAACGGGGGGAGGCGCACCACACGTCTCATTCCTCCTCTTCGTCGTCCTCCTCCCACCACCAGCGCCACCATCTCCTCCAGCACGACCACCACCAGAGTTCACCCCAATAGTACCACAAGCGGGAGAGGTATAGGGACCGGGAACTGGAGAAAGAAAGGGACTGGCCCGGAGCGGGAGGACCCGGCGGTGATCTGGTCCACCCTCTCCCCTTGCCCTTTACCCATCACCTGCCTTCACGTTCCTCCCAGTCCCTCGCCATGCTCCCTCCACCAGCCTCTGCCCCGCCATCCATCTCCGACCCATCCTCCTCCTTGTCTTACTCCTCGCCCTCGCAGGTGGAGGTCTAGGGGAGCATTCGCGCCGCCCCCAACCTGATGGCCCTGAGAAACAGCCCCCAGCCTCTGAGGAGGACGGCGTCCGGCGGGGGGCACAGGGCAGCCACTGGCCCTGATGGCGTCCTAAGCCGGAGCACCTCCGTCACCTCGCACATCTCCAGTGGCTCGCACTTCTCCTACTCCTTGGCGAGGGGTTCTCAAACTTTTTGGGTCCAGGGACGCCTTACAGGGGAGATTTTTTTTTCCAATGACCCACTCATAATCCGAACACCAGTTAAACTATATTTAAAAAAAAAAAAGACTCGTTCCAAAATAGAGAATACATTTCTCCCCTGCTATATACAGTTCTGGAAAAAAATGTCAGGAAAGCGTTTTGTTTTTTTTTCTTTTTGACAAGGCCTGACCATATGAGCCTCCTCCCTTCAAGTCAACATTTCCCGGGCTCCAAATGGCGCCAAAGTGATGGTTTTTGTTTTGTTTTGTTTTTAACTAATGACTTTGGCATGAGCACAAAAACAGCATGTAGGTTAGTTTTTCTTTCATCACGAAGAAATAGGGTTGTTTTGTCTTATTCTCAAAAGTAAGACTTTACTTCTGGAGTACGACCATTTTAAAAAAATACTTGAGATTACCATTGTAATACAGTGGTGCCTTGACTGAAGTGTTTTCTTCATTCAAGCCGCCCGTCACTAAATAGATTTTTTGTTTTACCTTGCGAGCCAAATTTTAGTTTGGCAACTCGTGAACAATTCTTCATATTTCAAATGTGAGGCTTCAAGCTCTTGATTGTGACTCCCAGTTGAGATTTTCTGTCACACTAAACATAAAATGGCAATTACATTCTGTATGCAAAAAAAAAAAAAAACATACCTTTTCCTTAGAGATGATTGCTTGCATACAGGTAACATGAACACACAATGCATCGATGGCCTTGCCAACAGGAACCGTTTAAGCAACAGATATTTACAGGCATGTGGTCGTTATCCTCCGCGAGAAACGACTTTTGAGATCGATCGATAGATAGATAGATAGATAGATAGAGAGATAGATAGATAGATAGATAGATAGAGAGATAGATAGATAGATAGATAGATAGAGAGATAGATAGATAGATAGATAGATAGAGAGATAGATAGATAGATAGATAGATAGAGAGATAGATAGATAGATAGATAGATAGATGTGTGTGTGTGTGTGTGTGTGTGTAAAAGATTCATTATAGATGCTAAAGCAGCCAAGTATGTATTGATCATTTTAAAAAAATGATTCTAAAACTTTGCCTACAACGATACATGTCCAGTAGATGTCGCCATCGCTTAATATTTGAGTTTTGATGAGTCATAGCGAGAGTTCATCGTCAGCCATTCAGCTGGTAAAAACTCCTACGCTTGAAAAGCCAACGTTTGAAGACACGAGTCTCTGGGGATTGTATAGGAGTAGAATATTTTAAACAGTCAGATAGCATCGGGACGGATGGATAGATCGGTTTCCCAATTCTTTCATGATCAAATAGTGACCATATATGACAACAAGACCGAAGGGATGTTGCGCTGCGAGGATTTCCCATACTGTACAGTGTACACAGTGTACACATCCTACTGCACGTAGATTTGCGCAAACTTGTCACGTGACACTTGTGCAAGCGAGCAGGACGGTGACAAACCAGTCAAGGATGGAAACTAAACCGGCAACTTCTTTAAATTGCATGTCAATGAAGAACACCACGTCACTGTCGGATTGATAATTAATTTCTAGTGAACTTACACATCTTGTATAATAACCTACCTGTATGGTGCACCACACTCACCCACACTGCTCAGATAACAGATATTTGGTGTCAACGCTGGTTAAACGCAGAGGGGATTGTGCTAGATACAGAGTGACTATACAGACTTGGGCTAATGAGCCTTTTTGAAGCTGAGAGCTACTTCTTGGAGACTGATAAATGCAAAAGGAAACTATTTTGAAACACACTTCTGAAATGACAAAGTTACTCAAATTACCTTTAACGATGTTATTATATGTTATTCATAAATGATATGCAATCATGTGAAACACTGACGTGATTAAAAAATGTCTTTACTCTTTTCCTCTTAAATAGGGTTTTGGATCAAATCTTGCGCAATACGTATTTTATCATCCAGCCGTCCATCCATCCATTTTCGACTATTGCAGGCATGCTAGAGCCTATGTATGCTACACCCTGAACTGATCGCCAACCAGTCGCAGGGCACAAATAAAGGAACATCCATTCACGCTCACATTGACATCTGCGGACTATTTTAGAGTATTGTATATCACCATGTGTTGTAATTTATAGCTATGAAGTTTCCAGAAAAATATACACCGATTGCCATGATCATCATGGCATGATGATTACCAAACCTTTACTTCATAAGTTTCGATAATTGCGACGTGGAACCGTTCAATTAAGTGCCATCGCACTTACTATTTCATCACGACTGATATTTAATTATCATTTTCGGATTGATGTTGTCATTGTGCTTGTGATTTGCTTGTGATTTCATAATTTCTTCTCCATTCCTGCACCGCCTAGTGTTAAATACGTGAATGTGCCGCTTCCTTACTATGGCGGACTACCACATGCGGCCGTGTGCTGAGCTTGATTCAGAATGGACGCCGGCAGCAAAGGATGGCATGCAGTCACGCCGCCAGCGTAACCCGGCTCAGTGAGTCACGTGTCATATATAAAAGCGGAAGACGGTTCAGTCGGTTGTGCCTGATTCAGAATCGATGCCGGCAGCAAAGGATGGCATGACGTCACGTCGCCAGGGAAACCTGGCTCAGGGAGTCACGTGTCATCTATAAAAGCGGAAGGCGGCCCAGTAGGTTGCGCACTCATATTCAAGGAGGTATCCGTTGTCGAGGTAAGGCATAAGCCTACTTTACCGCTTATTTCTTTCACACTATCAAGTAGCACGCAACCTGTATTCAACAGCGTTTGTGAAACTGTGGATGATTTGTATTAACACGTGGTTTGTAAGGTCATCGTAAAGAGGAGCCACAGAGTTTCTCAAGCTCGCTTTTCTGTCGGTGTACAGTGCAGCCTTGCCAAAGGAAAGAAGACGACATCATGCTATATGTCCGTGCTCGACGCCCTTTAAGCTCGCGGAAGCTCAATATCATAATTTCCCCATGCTTATTCTTTTCAGATACTCGTTATCAACTTATGTTGGCGTCAGGTGACGAGTGGGTGATATTAAGAGCGTTTAATATTGCATTTTGCTTGAACTAAGGCTTACTTCTTCCTGGAATGGAGGATAAACCCGAGCATTGGAGGGGATGCGGTCATGGCGTCAGGCTACTTGTTGTGTCATCCATGCGTTGTTGCATCATTTGGTCTTCACGGTTAATTTTGAAATATTCAAAACGGAAATTGTAGTTTCATCGGTGAAAGTCATTTCTAATAATTTAGTGTGGTATGAGGGCATGTGTCTGAAGCAGGAGCACCCTTGCTAGGTGACAGTGGCGGCTCCTTTTGCTGCATCTTTGCGGAAGTGAACTGGCGTCCGTGTTACGTAACCTACCAGACTCCACATACTGCATTTGAAACGATTACAGAGAACTACCCTGAAATGGCTATCATTTGATCATGCTAAAACGTGCAGGGTTGATCTGAAGCCCTGTTATTTGGCTGCGATCCTGCAGTGAGGAAAAGATGGTTAAACTCTGGGTGAAAAGAACTACGTGCCTGCGTGTCATTTCCTAATGAAGTCTGGCGTGTCGCTCTGTTGGATGTTTGTGCATGCGCATTTTACTTGGCGTGATGTAGTAACTGGACGTTTTATTTTATTTTTTCAACCTGATGTAATTTGCTTGTATGCTGAATGATCACAAAGCAACGTGCCACATTTTTTTTTGTTTTAAACTTGAACGAAGAAACTCCGTATCGTTTTCAATTAGCTTAGTCCATACCTGTTTGATTTGTTTATTCCAATAATACAGCTATGTCTGATGTGAGCATACTGTGTCCGGATACGTATGGCGTACAGATGCAGCTCTGCAAGGCCCTGTTTCATAGCTGAAGGTCATAACTACAGCTGGGGAAGGTCAATGCAGGCCTGCAGCTGCTATTACAACACAGATTTGCGGCTAACTTCTTCTCGTATCTCAGATAAAGTTAAGATGCGGTAACGTCACTGAATCCATAGTACACGCCGTAACTGAAAGTCATAATCATCACAGGCCTGCAGTTGCTTAGTCTTGTTATTGTCTGGACCATATCGGTTAGCAGAGTTTTTCAAGCCTCGTGATGATTTGGAAGATGCATGCCACGTATGACGAGCATTGATGTTGTTTCAATAGTAGAATTGTACATCTGAAGTTTTTATGCATGTCTGTAATATAATAGAGTGTTAAGTTCCCTAACTAGCAAGTACGATTTATGATTATTCCCAGTGGAAATTGTTAATTGAAAAACATACATTCCATGTGTTTATTTGCTGCCAGTGATGAGAAGAAAAATCTCATTAAAATGCCAATGTAAGAAAAACCCTCATATAAAAGACTTGTTTACCATGTATCATACATAATCAGTTATTTAATATCTCCTGGTTTAACAAATGGTGCATTCTGATAACGTTCTTCAAGGGGGGCAGTGTTTCCCTACCTGCATTACCTCTGCAGAGTCATCGCATGACAAGTCTGCTCTTGAATCCTCTGCAGGCTGACGGCGCGCCTTTCTTTTATTCATGTGCTTGTGCATTCTTGTGCCGTATTACGCTGTCTTGTATGTTAATGTGTTGCTTTTTAGTTTATGCTAATTTTAAAAACTGGCCTTGGTGGTGTGAATTTTCTAGGGAACAATGCCCAGCCACTGCTGGTCCCACCCAAGCCTGGATTTAAAAAAAAACAATAAAAAATACGGGTGGGTTGTGTCAGTAAAGGCGTCAGGCGTTAAAAACGCGGGCCTGACCAAATAATCAGGCTGATTAAATCGGCCGATTATGGGTCTCAGACATGGCAAAAATAATTGGCCAAATGGCCGATGTTTTTATTTCATTTTATGTACTGGTACTCGAACCATGTCAGGTAGATCTACATAAATAACACTGGTCTCATTATTTATTACACGTCAATCTATCAATTATACAACCATATATCCTTAATTATGTATGAAGTATTTACATAAGGTCATGTTTTCGCTCTGTCGTTCAACATAATACAAAGCCTAATCTTGACAGCATGGCTTGTGTAAGCAATGCAAGGAATATTGACTTGGAAGTCACTTTTTTTGGTGGGGGGAGGGGGTTCACGTTTGGCAACTGTCTTGGTCTGTACCAGACTTTCGAGTTTGATCGGTGTTGTTTCTCAACAATTGGTGCAGTAAGCATATAATTTTATCTCTGCTGTATGTTATAGCACATTTGACAAAGTTGTATCCAATCCAATAATTCAGTCAACATTCTTTTCTTTTTTTTTTTTGGCTTTTCTTCTGCTGTCTTTTCATGTATGTTATGACATGGGCACCACCCATTGTTCAGACAAAGACCCTACAGTTGAATTAAACGGTGACTTGTAAAACTCAAATAAAAATGGAAGATATTCCCAATGTTACTTGAATCACGGTTGTATTCAATTTAAGTTATTGCACTTGAAAATAAATTGGACAACCATAAACGTAGTTTAAACCTTTTTGGGGGGGGGGGGCGTGGCCACTAGGTAGTTGAAATGCATTGGGGTGTGGAGCTATTTTATGCATTATATTATTTAAATTGGTCATCTGCATTTTTTTTTGCCAAAAATCATTAGTGGTCTTAAAAAAAAAAACAACAAAAAAAAAAAACGAAAACACTGCTGGGGCCGTAGTACAACTTGTCAAATGTGCATGACAAGCCAAAAATGCCACCAACATAGTCTTTATGGTAGCTGCTGATCAAGCATGCCACTGACACAAAGAGCAGACGTGTCAATTGTGCATGGCTCCCAGGAAGTGTAAAGCTTGCTGACTGTGCAGCCTGGATGCGTGGTGGCGGGATGGTGCTGAACAAGAATATCAGCAAGGTGCCATTTGCTACAAACTGGGCATGGAAAGACAGTCGGAGTTCTTCTGTTATGAAAGGACTGCAGTTGTCACCAAAGTCTTTGCCTTGTTTCTTAGGGAGGTGGGCCACAAGTGAAAACATGGCCTCAATCTATGTTCTTCATGACCTACAGCAAGTTATCCCACTGCACTGGAAAATTACTTTTGTGATCAAGGTTGTGGTAGCGGTAAAGTAAGAAGGTTAAAGTTTCAATTGTCAGAGAGATGAAGGGCTGGGGGGGGCTGAAGAGTGGCAATATTACCTGTTGTGGCTTTTGGTATTTGACGAAAGAATTGTAGGTCCTGACGATTATCTTGATTTCCCCCCCCCC